CTGTCTGTCCGTCCGTCCGGGACTTCACGTTTTCGTCGACGAGAAAATGCGCTCTCTGTCACTCACTGCAGTGAGTACTGAGTTATATTTTGTTCTCTTGTTTGGATGTTGGAACCTGGTCAGGTATCTGTAGTGACTCGAATTTTCATTCATGGTCATTCGTTGCGAATGTCGTAATTAACTTAATTATCTTGAACTCAATTGCTATTTTCGGGTTTCATCCATTTCACTATTAAATAATGACATAAATGTTCAGTCATTAAATCCTGTCAATTCTCGAGCACGAATAACACTCGTGTAATCTCAGAATAAATAAAATTCAGTGAAGGTCGAAATTACTTTTGTGTTTGAATCGTGCCAACAAATAGTATGAAGTTTATTTAGAATGCCCAGTGGGTAACCTTAGCCAATCACGCGTTAGATTCATTTTTCTGAGCATTGTCGCTGTGTTAAGGGGTAAATTGCCAATTTCATCTCTAGAATTCGATTCGTATAAATTTCGTTCAAAAGAAAAATCTTGTTCACTGTAAATTTCGGCCTGAATTGCTTTATAACTCACGAATGACGATGAAATGGAAAAATTTACACGAGCTAAATATCACCGTTAGGTCCTGATGAATACGTGTACCAAGTTTTATCGATCTACGTTCAGTAATTTTGGAATTATTCATTGGCCACTGAATTTGGAGATTGGCCGCGAGCCAGGCCGTAAATTTTTCTGAGACCTGTATTTAGGTTGTATGCGTTCATAAAACTCCTACCGTTATGTACTCATATTACTTTTACTCTACCAGAATTTTACGCTGTGCGGTTCATAATACTCCTACAGTTATGTACCTATATTATGTACTTATACTCCACAAGAGTTTTACGCTGTATGGTTCATAATACTCCTACAGTTATGTACCTATATTACATACTTAAACTCTACCAGAGTTTTACGCTGTATGGTTCACAAAACTCTTATTGTTATATTAGACCTTGTATTATATAGTGCGTGAAACCGAAAATGTCATGCATTTTAAATGCCAAAACCCAAGTTGCATTCGCGGTATTTTCAAGCAATTTTAGGTAGCAACTTTTCTATGTAGCATCCACCTATATTATGTCATTGATATTTTGCGGAAAGGCCTTGATTTTCAAGCTTGATTTTTGATGTTGCTGACGTCCGAGAAGAAGTTTGGAAATGAAATTTTGAAATTATTTTAATGCTTTGTATTTAAGCTTGACATTTACAATTTATTGCACTGCTTTGTGATTATAACAAAAGAACTGGAGGGTTGTACCAGATACACGTATTCTGCATGGTCAAGTTTAACGAAGATATGAATTATTAACCCGCTCAAAAAATGTAAATTGAAATAAAATTTAAGTTCTGGTATTAATATCTGTTTTATATTAATTTACAAATTTAGCATGTAATTTATTACGAGTCGGAAGGCAACTGAACGTAACGAAGAGAATTACATTCAGTAATATCTATAGTCGCTCTACATAAATATAAATAGTTTTGATTAAAATTTTAATTTAAGACACAGTTTGAAATTTGCCTAAAGTGTCAATGAACTTTGAATTATTTTTCCACATGCCCAAATTCTTTTCTCAACGATATTGATTATTCATTTATATGACGTTTTCTAGTCTAACAAGATTACAGATAAAAATTCACTCAGAAAACTAACGGGTCATGTGGTCCAAATAGCGATGCATTCTCTTACCCACAGCACGAGCAGTGCACAGCGGACGTAGCACTGATACGCGCTTTTGAAGTGCCAAACTGAGTCAGAATGACTCACACGAGGGCAAAAAAATATAACTCAATACTCACTGCAGTGAGTGACAGAGAGCGCATTTTCTCGTCCGTCAGTCCGTGAAATCACGGACTGACGGACAGATGGACGGACGATCGGACATGACGAGCACAACAGCACCTTTTTTTCCATAAATGAGGAAACGCGCTAAAAAGCCCCCGCTATTTGCAAAAAGTTTCGCTAATTTTTCTGAGTGTATATTCGTGGCCGGTATATAAGCTCGTGGTCTTCGGGGGCGCGCAGGCCCCCCAGGGTGGCCACCTTGACGCGGCGCAGGTCGGCGGTGGGGGCCGGCATCACGTCGAAGTTCTGCGCTATCGCGGCCGTGAAGAGGAAAAGTTCCATGCGGGCCAGCACCTCCCCGGCGCACTGTCTGCGGCCTGCGTAAAGTGAATTTACTATTAAAAATACTATTTTATTGTATACTGAAATAGTATATTTGTATAATATAAATAAAATAATGCTATGCCTTGTTATTTAATGGTAATACTAGTCACTTTAACACTCATTTTAAGTAAATGTAGTGACCAGAGTACAAGAAACGGCCTAATTCCATGATTTCTGTCCAGTGATTGTTAGGTTTAGATTCAAAGCCGTCAAAGATTAACTGAAGGAGCTACGAACACGTAACTACGTATTTTCGATAGTATGTCACTAATGGCCGTCATATCAAAGATAGTTTTGATTTCGTAACTTCATCAGTCAATTGCTAACGCCATTACAAGCTAGACACGCCAATCACTGATGAGGATATTGGCCATTACGTGTACTTGGGCCACTATGTGTACTTAGGCTGCTACGTGTACTTGGTCCGCTACGTGTGCTTGGGCCGCTACGTGTTCTTAGGCCGCAATGTGTACTTAGGCCGCTACGTGTACCTAGGCCGCTACGTGTTCTTAGGCCGCTACTTGTACTTAGGCTGCTACGTGTACTTGGTCCGCTACGTGTACTTAGACCGCTACGTGTTCTTAAGCCGCTACGTGTACTTAGGCCGCTACGTGTACTAAGAACGCTACGTGTTCTTGGGCCGCTACGTGTACTTTGACCGCTACGTGTACTTAGACCACTACGTGTTCTTAGGCTGCTACCTGTTCTTAGGCCGATACGTGTACTTAGGCCGCTACGTGTACTTGGGCCGCTACGTGCTCTTAGGCCGCTGCGTGTTCTTAGGCCGCTACGTGTACTTGGGCCGCTACGTGTTCTTAATTAGGCCGCTACGTGTTCTTAGGCCGCTACTTTGTAAGGTATTGCAATAGGACTCTTGAAATTTATCGTTTAGCGTTTTGATTCACCTTTGACGTGACCTCGTTTAGATGCGCTTTGTATTCCGTCATTGTATGGGAATCCCATCACAGAGCAAGGCTCGGAAACTTGAGGCCGAAGTTAGAAGTGCTAAGGAAATACACGGTTTATTCATTTGTATTCTTGTATCCGTCATTTGTTTATTATCACAGTTATTTATTAAAAGTTTGGGGAAACCGAGATTTGTTTGCCTATTTATTGGATAGACCCCAACAACGTGTACTTAGGCCGCTATTTGTTCTTAGGCCGCTATGTGTACTTAGGCTGCTACGTGTACTTGGTCCGCTACGTGTAGTTGGGCCGCTACGTGTTCTTAGGCCGCAATGTGTACTTAGGCTGCAACGTGTACCTGGGCCGCTATGTATACCTATGGGCAGCTACGTGTACTTAATTAGCACACAAAAATACCTCGTTTTACATGGATCTTCTTCTAAAATATATAATTCTTTGGGGTTCGATGGCGTTCAATTCCTCTGGGTATTAAATGTTCAAATTAGAACTTCATATATCCACCACCTTGGAGATGAAGTACCCACCTTGGGGATGAAGTACCCACCTTGGGGATGAAATACTCACCTTGGGGATGAAGTACCCGCCTTGGGGATGAAGTAACCACCTTGGGGATGAAATACCCACCTTGGGGATGAAGTTCCTACATTGGGGATGAAGTACCCACCTTGGGGATGAAGTACCCACCTTGGGGATAAAGTTCCCACCTTGGGGATGAAGTTCCCACCCTGGAGATGAAGTTACCACCCAGGGGATGAAGTACTCACCTTGAGGTTTAAGTACCCACCTTGGGGATGAAGTACCCACCTTGGGGATGAAGTTCCTACATTGGGGATGAAGTACCCACCTTGGGGATGAAGTACACACCTTGGGGATGAAGTTCCCACCTTGGGGATGAAATACCCACCTTGGGGATGAAGTACCTACCTTGGGGATGAAATACCCACCTTGGGGATGAAGTACCCACCTTGGGGATGAAGTACCCACCCTGGAGATGAAGTTACCACCCTGGGGATGAAGTACCCACCTTGGGGATGAAGTACCCCCCGATGGTAGTGTCACGGGTAGCTGCCCTCTGGACGTTGATGGGTAGCAGGGATGAGTAGCGCAGCGTTTCCATGACGAACGCCTCGACCAGCGGCAGACTGAGAACAGCGACAGCAAAGTAGCTTAAAACGCGCGTGAAGAGTAAGTGATTGATGTTTAACAGATGCGTGAAATATGCTTAAAAGTATTGTAAACGATGCCTAAGAATAACGTATAAAGTAGTTTAAAGGTACTTGAAAGGTGCTTAAGAGCCCGGTGGAGCGGCCGCCAGCCTCGTCAATCCCTATGAGGGTTCTTAACAATGAAGGCAACCAATAACTCTCCTCCTAAATAAGATACAAGTCTGAAATTTGGAATGGAGATCTGGCTGATTATTTTAAATTAACGGACAGTAAGATATATTATGTAAACTATGTATTACCACTTTTATCACGAACAAAAATTTTAAACCATATGAGGATCGTAAAATGAGCGACTTTTTCTAACGCGACATTTTCTAACATTTTCGCGACACATGTTAATTTAACTATTTATTCTTCATTGATCTCTACACAAAGCATTTCTGAATCATTCTTTTAGCATTAGATATTAGGCGACATTATTAGTGGGGAGTGAAAATTCCGTAGATTTAAGCAAGACCTGACCCATTGTCGTACCGGGTGTAGGCGCAGCCTACCCTATATGGCAATAAATCTTCTGTCGTTCAAGGTAAACATTCCTTCTTCCCTCCCTCTTCTCTTCGCAGTTCCTTTCGACCAGCTTTCAAAGCCCTTGTCTGAAGCTGCGGAGTCTTTTAAAGGGTCTAAACTAACAATGCATGTTTCCATGCATCTTCAATAATATGAAAATGTTGTTAAGGTGATCGTAAATGAGCATCATGCGTTAGGATGATTACGAAGAGTTAATCGAAATAATGTTTTAAAATATGAAGTGACCGAATGCATAAACAGCACAATTTAATATAAAATTTCCCATTTGCTACCACACGAACGATTATTTTAATGCAAATTATTGAATTAAATGAGCTAGAATNATTATGTCACACACATAGGTATAATATCCAGCACAATTACTTTAACAATTAATTCGTTCACCAATAAATCGCTTTCCCCGCCCCCGTGCTTTTATGAAACAGCCTAAATTAACTTGGTTGTTTTATCACAACACAGCATTGCCGTAAATTATGACCACGTATTGTCAATAAAGATTATTAGTAAGAAAACAACCAATTTGATAATAGAGTGCAATTTCGTAGAAAAATTAGTAGTATGTCGCTCGCTGATTAAAAATGTAGAGGGGGGGGAGTGGAGGAGGGGAATGTGCAGCCAGACGTTAGAAGGCAGAGCCTGGCCGAGAAATTTTAACCGCGTGAGGCCGTTTGGGCTCAATGCGGTGTTCGGCGACCGCTCCACCTGACTCTTAACAGGCTTAAAATAACGTAAAAAGTAGTTAAAAGATACGTGAAAGGTGTTTAAAGGCGCGTGAAATGGTCTTAAAAGTATTGTGAAAGGTGCCGAAAATGACGTAAAAAGTACTTGAAACTTACGTGAAAGGTACTTAAAAGGAAGTGAAACTTGCTCGAAAAACACGTTCAATATGTTTGAGAGGAATGTGAAAGGGGTTTGAAATGTGCGTTAAAGGTATTCAAATGGTCTGTAAACCAGTAAGGATGTGTAGTAAAGGGCCATAATAATAGTAATAGTGGCAGAGTCAGCGCTTAATTGGCACAATCTTGTTTGCCGTTGATTTTAGACATCGCAGAATTTTTGCAGGCTGCTTGGGTTTCGAACTCGCAGCTCACTGATCCTCAAATCTTGCTATTCTCAACCACCCGTCAAACTCATCGATTTTGACCAGAACTGTCGCATGAAGCTGGAATCAAACCCTTAACTATCTGCTCCAATCCTGATACTCTAAGCAAAACCACAAGGCCATCCCATAACTGTAGGTTTGAAGTTTTAGATACCATTTAGATACTATAATCATTAAATACTCAAAACTACCAGATACCATACCTTGGCTTGTCATTGAGTGATACCATAGCGTCCCTGGGCACCACCGAGTCGATTTGGTCCTGCATTCTCTTCGCCACGTCAGGGTAGCGGGCCAGCAAGTGGACAACCCACTTGAGGACGTTGTTGATGGTGTCCGAACCCGCCTGGAACATGTCGTTCACGATCTGGTCCAGAGCTGAAATTAAAGATTTATAAGTATAATTGAATAGGTTTTTTATACTCCGTCAGAGTTTTACGTGGTATGGTTTATGTTCACGGGTAAAGATAAAAGGGTGGTCGGGATCGTGGTCTTTCAGGTGCTCATCGATGGTTTTCTGGACACAAAAGAACGCTCACAACAGTTGCATATATTAACATGTGCAATACACTCTTTCACAACAGATGTTACAGGATGCATTTTAGCACAAAATTACTCTGGTTAAAGAATCATTCAAAAATTCGAACTAGTTCGGGTTATGCGTGGTTTTTATGATAAATTACTGAAGAGCGGCAGTAAAGTTTATAATACATATTAAATTGCATTTTAAATAACGATATTTACTTCTAACAACGTCCCAGAACTCTTCTCTGAAGTGGAATGTTACGCCGAGTCTAAACCAAGACATCGAATACAATACCACTCGAATAAAGTTTCTAAATTTCAATCTAAAAAACATAACAAATCGAATGTCGCTGGTTCATGCATAGAAAAACAAACGCCTTACATTACGCATTAGATTTGAAACAGATTCTCTCGCGCGAAGTTTTGAAATTTTCACTGTAAACAATTCCCCACGCCAACATCGTTCAGCATTTCAAATCGAAAACGATACTGAACAAACGGAATTGAAATTCTATTTTTCAATCGAATAAGATACCCACGCGAACAACGTTCCTCATTTCTTCAACGACTTTCTGGAACAGATCTTCTCCAAAGATCTTGTTTTTGATGGAGTCCGGGACTTTGTCCAGGGCAGGGATGAACATCGGGATGAAGTTTACCACCGAAAAGTTCCGCTGGAAATCCTTCGTGAGTTCGTAGATTAGTTCCACCTCCTTGGACCTCAGGTCGTATCGAGTGCCTGCAGGTCAATATAAATAACCTCAGTTGAATTTTGCTAGAAATTTCCATAAAGTTCTCTAACCTCTAGTCATTCAGGCACGAAATTGACGAAATTTCTAGAATTATATTGAGTTTATTTTCCATGGTAATAAGAATATTAGAAATCAGGCGATTAATGACCGTTTTAATTAAAAGAGTTATCACATCGTAAGAAAATATCCGTATACACAAATGACAAAAAATATTAGAAGATAATAAGATGATCCCTGTATATGGGCCGAGGTGACCCAGTTATTACAGTTCAGAATATTAAGATTGGAGCTGGGAGCTGGTTCGATCCCAGCCACCTGCGACAGTTGAGGACAAAATCAGCGAAGACGCCGGGCGGTTAAGCAACGCAAAATTTGAGCAGTGAGTTGCATGTTCGAGACCGCAGCAAGCTGTGAATGTACTGCGATGCCAAGAATTTGACATGTTTCACAGCCTAATCTACTCAGAAATCAATTTTATTATTATTATTGATTCTGCATTGCATTTCAGGATGGCTTTGAGGTTATTACTGATATAAGTCTCTTCACTAGTCACCATCTGCCAGATGATGACGTTCACTATCATCACTCACTAGCCTCCATCTGCCAGATGATGAAGTTCACCATCGCCACTCACTATCAACCCTCTGCCAGATGATGACGTTCACCATCACCACTCACTATCAAGACGAATGGCCGTATGTGAAGCTTTTCCACATGCCTAAATGACAAGAATCCATTTATTGTTTAATACAGTTAAATACTTAGTAACAGTTACATTACGTTATTAAGTAACAATAAAATACTTAGTATCAGTTAACATTATTTAGTTAGTAATAGTGAAATCTTTAGTAGCCGTTATTTATTTAGTAACAACTGAATAGCAGTGTGTAAAGTTTTTCCCTATGCCTTGAATTAAATGAATCTATTTAATATTTTGTAACTGTCTATTGTTAATTATGTTTCAACAGAAAATCATTTAGTAAGCTTATTGCGTTGGTATATTTATTATTTAGTGACAGTTGAATATTTTGTAACAGTTAGTTATTAGTTATTTAGTGAAAGTTAATTATTGTTTATATAGTAACAGTTAAATAGCCATACGTGAAGCTTTTGTATACACTGTAGCTATCTTGAAGCCCTGTATACACTGAGAGACTTGGGTGGGCCTGGATGACAATTTTTATGAGTCAAAACTTTTTTGACTTACTTGCCCCATTTTGTGGGTCATACTAACCTATTACTGGCCGCTTAAATTTCAGTTTTGACTCACTTGTGCAGTGAAATTTCTTTTGACGCCACCCGTAGCATGGATACGTAGAAAACATCTTTAATTATAATAATGCTTCGATATGAAATCACATCAAAATGAAAGGAAAAAGAGTTAATATGTCTACATTTGACTCACCCAAGTCACGGAGGCTGCGCAGCACAAAACGCCTGTCGTGCTGCCACTGACGACCGTTGCTACTCACGACTCCTGTGGCAAACCCAGGGAAATTATCGGGTAATATTGTCCAAATATGTCACACACTTTATCATCCACACCACCAGCAAGAAAAACGCGGCATTTATACCCCATTATACCAAGCCAAACTGGGTTAGGATGACTCACACAGGCACAAAAAATGCATCACTACATTGACAAAGTTAATCTTCTTTCTTTGACTATAATGACAAATAGTGAAACCTCGATAAAAGTCAGAAGAATTATGAGCATAGGTAAAAGTCAGAGACCACAATTTCGCTTCAAAGCGCAAAGATGGAAGTGAATATCACCATGCAGGGAAGAGATGCAATTAAGGTTAAATTCTTCTCTAACTAATATAGTCAGAAATTTCTTCTAGGCAAAGGTCGCTGCCGTGTCTTGGTATTAAATAAATTAGATTATTTGCTATATATTATTAATTATCATCATTACCTCCAGTTTTCTGGTCATCGATGTTAAAGCTTTCGAAAAAATTTGGCCGGTCGGCGAACTCGAGTCTAGCGAGCGCCTCCTTGGCGACGTGGTAGTCGAAGAGCAGCACCGAGCGGTACGACCCTGTGCGATACCTGCGGGGAAGTGTAAAGATGCTTATACACGGGGAAAGTCTTAGCTGATAGTATTGTCGGTAAGTACTTTTCCCTTCCAGTTTGCCGGCTGAAAGCTTATACACAAAAAAGAGAACTAAGTAAACAATATTGTGTAACAGTAGCAAGCGCCAGTGTGTCGTTAGAATCCGTCGAGAGAAGTCTGTGCTCCGTGGAAGAATTTGTAGACGACACTAATTGCTACTTTAAGAAGAATGCTTATGATGAAGATATTGGTGAAATTGTTGTAACTCTAGGTGTGGAGATGAAAAATTTTGTCAATCAACGTAGGGTAAGGGTGAAAGACCAGGTAGGAAGAAAAGGTTTTTTGAATCATCGTTGACTTTGTATAATGTATGTCTCTGTTGCGTGAACTCGTTGAGTGGCACAGATGTACCCATCGCGGCTATTGCGGCTCCACTGCGGTGTTGCTTTACGGCGCAAAAACAAATCTTTTCGACTGCAAGCGTACGTTCCCAGCTACTTTCAACTGAAGGAATCAACCCGATATTCGAAACGGAGATTAATTGCTGATAATTAATACTATCGGCTAATATTTCGCGGAGCTAAATTTAGTTGGGTATGATAGAGGGAACGGGACAGATGGCGGTTATTAGGGAGATGTGACCAAGAGGTTGATGGTGCGTAAGTCCCAGTTATAGTGCAAAAAAAAATGAAAACTTTCTATTAGTTAAAAATTTACAACTTGGTGAAACATTATTACTGAACAAAACTAGTGTAGAAAAGTCATCGCATCATAAACTAAAGTTTTCAGTGCCAATTGCATAAAATGTGTCAACATTCAGACAGTAAGAAAACGTTAATTTTTGGATCGAACATTGATTTTTCTGATTGCGAGGTCAACCCTATTTTAATTAACATTGGCAGAGATATTGAAACTTTTCATCTGATTACTCACATGACAATGTCGCCGTAGTTCTTCTTGAGTTCTTCGGCCACCACTTCGTCAAAGAACGGCATGCGCCCGAAGAATGGGATCTCAGTAGGACCTGTTAGCGGGATATTGTCGTTACTGGGTCTTTCTCATCTTGCAAAACGTGACCATTTCGTTGAATTTGACATCCGAATCATGGTACTTCGTTTACAAGCCTCCCATCACCTGGCAGGCTCCACCCACAATGCAGTTCCCGCTCTCAGGTGGACCTCACCCACAAGGCTGGCCCCACACACCAGGCAGGCTCCATCCTCCAGGCTGGCTTCACCCACCAGAAATGGACTTTTGCAGCGAGTTGATTAAAATCAGGGTGTCCAAGTGGTTAAGATTTACTCGTACAGAGAGTTGGGGGATTCGAAACCCCTCAGCTAGTTGTATAAATTCTGGTCAAAATCGACCGTGGGGCGGGCGGTTTAGAGTCGGAGATAGGTCAAATGGGTCTGCTTTTAGCTGACAGCAATATATGATATTATTATAATTGAAAAAACTTCACGTTTGTGTTTTTCGATTAGTAATTCACTTTACGAATATGATAACTGTCGTCACTTATAGCCTGAACTGAAGGCCTCGAGAGTAACCGTCACTACAGCATGGGTTAACCATTGGTCAATTGACTATTACATCAAAGATATTCGTACTTATAGGCCTGGAGAGTTAAAGTTATGAGACAATGGTCTAAGCCTGAATAAAGCGTAGGTATTTCTGACTATTTTATATTATAGTATTGAAAGTATCTGTGTTGTGTAGTTTAGATTTTCGAGGCTATCAAAGGGAACCCTTGTGAAACTTGAAACCTTCACGGCGCATTTCGAGGGATAGGCTTAAGGCTTGTAGTCAAAATGCAGCGAAGTCTGAGAGCGAGGTTTTCGCGACCATCGTGTAAATTCCTTGATCTGCCCAAAGCTCGGCCAGTCGCTACCCTCAAGCTTGTACTCTTTGTAATATGATATCCTAGCCAGACCCTTCTTCGCGGCAACTGGTCGTTTTCAGGTGGCCGAGGAATGGCCAACGGTCGGCTATAACTAATTGGACTAGGCCGACCACTGGCCACGTATTATTCTTCGCCCCTCATTGACTTCGCCTTTACCATGCCACCCGTCGTGAACTGACAGTTGTGTAATTTACGACGTCTCTTTCCCCTCAAACATTGCATAACGTCTCCGTTTGAGCAGCTAGTATGCGGGATTTTCCCTCCGCGTATCAGCAGACTCGATCATAACTATTTTTCGGTAGAAAATATCGACAACAAGGAGGCTGATCAAGGAATGCCGAGTATACCATTCAATGGAGAATAAAAATTACAACCCGTTTACATCTCGAAAAAAGTATATAAGTCGCAGACATGATTAACAATAATATTCAAAGTTTCTTGAAATTTACTCTCATTAAAACTCTTTTAATACAAAGTTTACATATTTTTTGTTACTGGTCGACGCTTATAAATAAATAGCTGGGTAAGTATGGAAAAATCCATATCGCCATCTCATTTACCCACGATCGCCCCAAGCTCGACGGGTATTTCACAAGATTCTCTTTCGGCGCTTATTTCGCTCTGGCAATCGGAACCTAAAGCGGACATAGAGCTTTTAATTTACACCGCAAAAAGAACTTGGGGCGACCCTGAGCCAGCGGCTGACAGGCATCCAAATTTTGATAGGGTATTGGCCATTACGTGTACCTGGGCCGCTACGTGTACTTAGGCCACTATACGTGTACTTGGCCCGCTACGTGTACTTGGGCCACTACGTGTACTTATACCGCTACGTGTTCTTACGCCGCTACGTGTACTTAGGCCGCTACGTGTACTAAGACCACTACATGTTCTTAGGCCGCTACGTGTACTTAGACCGCTACGTGTACTTAGACCACATACGTGTTCTTAGGCCGCTACGTTTCTTAGGCCGCTACGTGTACCTAGGCCGCTACGAGTTCTTAGGCCGCTACGTGTACTTAGGCCGCTACGTGTTCTTTGGCGCTACGTGTTCTTTGGCCGCTACGTTATAAGGGATTGCAATTGGACTTTTGAAATTTATCGTTTAGCGTTTTGATTCACCTTTGGCGTGACCTCATTTAGATGCGCTTTGTATTTCGTCATTGTATGGGAATCCCACCACAGAAAAAGGCTCCGAAACATGAGGGCGGAGTTAAAAGTGCTAAGGAAATACACGGTTTATTCATTTGTATTCTTGTATCCGTCATTTGTTTATCATCACAGTTATTTATAAAAAGTTTGGGGAAAGCAAGATTTGTTTGCCTATTTATTGGATAGACCCAGTAACGTGTACTTAGGCCGCTACGTGTACTTAGGCCGCTACCTGTAGTTAGGCCGCTACGCGTTCTTAGGCCGCTACGTGTTCTTAGGCCGCTATGTGTACTTAGGCTGCTACGTGTACTTGGTCCGCTACGTGTTCTTAGGCCGCTATGTGTACTTAGGCTGCTACGTGTACTTGGTCCGCTACGTGTACTTTGGCCGCTACGTGTTCACGTGTTCTTAGGTCGCAATGTGTACTTAGGCTGTTACGTGTACCTGGGCCGCTATAGGTATACCTGGGCCGCTACGTGTACTTAATTAGCACCAAAAGTACCTCGTTTTACATGGATCTTCTTCTAAAATATATATAAAATATGACTGGCGCCTACCTGAGCCGAAGGCCATGAAGCCAGCCTTGGGCGCCTCGTATCTGCCGCTGGGGTCCAGGAAGCGGTCGGGGTTGAACCTTTGGGGGTCGGTCCAGTAGCGAAAGCCTAACCCACAATGTGAACCACGCCCACCAAGCCCCACCCACAATGTGAACCCCGCCCACAATACAAGACCCACCCAGAACCCACCAGGCGGGCAGTTGCGGGGGCGCCGGTCCCGCAGCACGGCGTAGACCAGCAGCAGCGCGCACAGCAGCAACACTTCCAGCCACATCACTTCTGGCGGGAAAATTTAACACTTGAAGTGAGAAGAAGCTCGACTAAAATCATGGTGACCCTGTGGTTAAAATCGACTGCTGTATCTAGTCGGTTAAAGTCGGGCTTGCCGAGTGGTTATTTTTCATTAGGGAAGATGGACTTTTGCAGCGAGTTGATTAAAATCAGGGTGTCCGATAGGTTTAAGATAAACTCGTACAGCGAGTTGTTGGATTCAAAACCCTTCAGCTATTTGTATAAATTCTGGTCGAAATCTGTCGTGGGCGGGTGGTTTAGAGTCAGAGATAGGTCAAATGGGTCTGCTTTTAGCTGACAGCAATATATGATATCATTATAATTGAAACAAACTTTACGTGTGAGTTTTTCGATTAGTTATTTACTATACGAATACGTTTACTGTCGTCACTTATAGCCTGAATTGAAGGCCTCGAGAGTAACCGTCAATACAGCATGGGTTAACCATTGGTCAATTGACATGTAAACTGTTACATCAAAGATATTCGTACTTATAGGCCCCGGTTTATGAGAGGTAAAATTATGAGACAATGGTCTAAGCCTGAAGAAAGCGTAGGTATTTCTGACTATTTCATATTATAGTATTGAAAGTATCTGTGTTGTGAAGTTTGGATTTTCGAGGCTATCAAAGGGAACCTTTGTGGAACTGGAAACCTTCGCGGCGCATTTCGAGGGATAGGCTTAAACGGTGCGCGACGGCTGCCTACACTGTTAGAAAAAACGGTGAAAAAACGGTCCTACTGGCGTTCTAGTGGCCGGTCGCCCTCGTGAAAATAAACAGTTTCGCTGTTTTTATCAGATGTTTTACGGATTTCTAGTGTTAAATTAGAATAAAAACGGCGACACTGTGTTTCTTTTCTCGTGTCGACCGGCCACTGAAACGCCGGTAATACCGTTAACGGTAATTTTTCTAACAGTGTATATACATATATAAGGGGCCTAAAATTTGCGCCAAGAGTCTGTTCTATGGAGGTGACCGTCACTCAAGCACGGTCTGCAGTCAGCGGGCGCTGTAACGGCCGCGGCCGTGAGGCCAGCGGTTTCGCCGTTTTCGAACATTGACGGTCGCGAGAAAACTAGACTTATTGAGGCAGCATGAGATATTGCACTATTTGGTGAAATATTGCGCAATTTGGCGCAACATTGCACTATTTGGTGATATATTGCACTATTCTATTAAATATTGCACTATATGAAGGAATATTGCACTATTTAATACAATGTTCAGTACATGGTGAAAAATTGCACTATTTGGAGAAGTATTGCAATATTTGGTGAAATATTGCATTATTTGATGAAATACTGCATTATTTGGTGAAATATTGCATTATTTGGTGAAATATTGCATTATTCGGTGAAATATTGCATTATTTGATGATATATTGGACTATTTGTAAACGATTGCACTCTTAGGAAAAATATATATGGCATTAGGATGAACTAATTCGCTATTTGGTGAAATATTGCACTATTTGGCGCAAGGATATATATTATATATAGGAGGTTTTAATATCATATTTGGGAAGCTACTCCATAATCTATTTTATTGAATGCGAAAAATAAAAGTACACCTGTCGTGAGCGCGAAATCGCTTCTACATATATAGTCAACGGCGAGAGTATATAGGGAACTCGTCAGGGCTTTGGTGAGTGGTGCGGAGGAACGAATGGTAGATTATGGTTCGAAAAATATGAAATATGCAATCGAGAGTGCTATTTAACCCTCTACCACCGTATGTCACTCTCCGGGAACATTCGATTATCCGTATACTATAGAGTGTAGCAACCTGAGGACGTTTGTACGCAACAGATAACATTTTAAAGTTGTCGTACGTGGCGACAACCATCAGTGCAAGTCATTTTGCGCTCACTAGAACGATATCTTTTTTGCGTAGGCTTGTGTGAAAATATTGCTACAGTTACTCATGTCAGGCGGTAGAGGATTGAAAGGAAATAAATATCTGAGAATGGAAATGACACCCGATGTATTGCTGGATTTAAGTTCTGAACAAAATATCCAAATTAAAATGTTTTCAGAAGTACCAGAACACCCTAGTTGTGTCGCTGACTGCCACAATGCCAGGAGGGCCATCATCAGTGCCAGGCATCATTTCATATAAAACAATTGACTCAAAACCACCCCAAGTATAAATAAATGCAACTAAAACTCAACCACCGGAAATGACACCAGCTGTGTTGCTAGACCAAAACCCAGGACATAATTGTCAAACGTCTGCTCCCTTGAATAAAAAATTTAGTCTGTTTTGATAGGTAAACCGCAATGTACATGTTGCTCTAAACTTGCAACTGCTGAAAATTCTGCAGAATATCACTAAAAATGTCAATGGCTGGATGCAAACATGATAAGGACAAAGACATATTGTTGCAAGAGAAAGTTTAAGGATATTTGTTTGAAGACGGCTGATGAAAAAGAAAATATTTCAACTCAAGAAAACAAAAATGCGGAAGAATCAAATTTCTTGTATCAATACAACTCTGAGAAGGACAGCATAATGCACTTCTTAAAGATTTGTCTCAGCCAAAGGAAACATAACAGAGGTCGTCATAGAATTGGCGAATCTTGGACCACTGGAATGATCTTCAGTGACAGCACAAGCAGTGAATCACAAGTGTTGGCGCTACTCTGGAAGCTAAGCATATAGCTCTCTTCCGATGAGAAAAAGAACGTTGGACATGATTCTCGAGCTATTCCTGCGAAATATCTACAAATCTCAGACCGCATAAGTTGAAGCCCACCGGAATGAGCTTACATTTGGCACAGCTTGCGGCTAAATTAAGCTTGACTTTTATTTAGATGATAGTTTAGCTCTACTGATAAGAGGCATATGGCGTTTAGTCGTTGGTATTAAAGGGACACATTAATGAGAATGTAAATTCGTACTAAATCCACTTAGGCCTTAAAAGGATATAAATATACTCATTTGGATCTTTCAAATCCGTTTATGAAATCATCACATCTAAAACCTGGTAATGAGAGAGACGTTGTACAGACGAAGTGTCAAGATACCAATCGAAAAAGTACATTACACATGTATTAGACGTGATTGATATTTCAAGGTAACTAAAATTCGTGAGTGGCATAAGTGAAACATTGAAAACTAAATTATTTATAATCGTTAATCTCTACCTAGTATTATTTAGAATATCAATACTTTTATATAAAACTGTCTTTAATGGATTCGATATAAAAGCATAACGATTCTTGAAAAGATTCATCAGGTTTAGTAAATCATTAAACCATTAAATGCAAAGATTCATCAGGTTTAGTAAAGCATTAAACCATTAAATGCATGTTATTCATGCAAACCGTTATTCACTATCTATATTCGATTCTGAGCTGTCTTCATTCTTGGTAAATCAGCTAGCTGATCACGTCGCCATCTACCAGTCGTCATTTGCCAGTAACCCCTAAAATTGCCAGTGCATCTCTTCACGAGGCTACTGGCATGATAATTAGTGGCGGTTAGTACTGGCCGGTTAAGTGGCTGCACTACTGGCCCCGTGTAAACGCACCTCGTGTGTCGGCATCTTCGAATTGTGTGGACGGGCTTTTTCGTTTCAAATATGCTTACATTTGCATGATTGATATTAAGGATATCATTTTACATAGTGAAATACTTGAAATATATAAAACTGACGAAATGACAAAATCCAGTAACTAAATTTAACATCAAAATTAAAGAGCATGCCCCATTATGTGTCTTTATGCCTCGTTCAAAATGATGTTCATTCCGAAAAAGTTTAATGTTCATACTTTGTCCATGACGTCTCGTCAAAACATTCCACGTTTTACTCCAGAATTGGAAAATTATGTGGGTTTTTTCAGCTAATCTGAAAAAAGCTTCTTGTCTCGTAACTTCTTGTCCAGACAGAAATAAGTACCAAACGCAGGAGTCAACGGTAATCACTGAGATATATCTGGAAAAGGTCCTGGGAGCAAAGTTAGGAAGTACAAATTGAATAAATATACAGTCCACACAAATCTACAAGCGCCTTCATTGCAAAACAAGGGGTGCATGCCGCAGGCCAGCATTGCCAAACTTCATACTTATATCATATTTCTCTCCGTAGTTAAAAACGCTAGAGGGCATAACAGCCTATGAAGTCAAGTCTTCAAAGCTATAGCGCCGGATGTCCACAGCCACATAATAAGCTTGTTAAAGGTATGCATGGCCATACTGCATCTGGCCAAACCTCTTCCGGCTTAACCTCTTCAGACCTAACCTACACAAGTTGCAACATTTCTCCTCCCAAAATAAATCTGAGTGGACCTAACATTACCTTATTGGCTGCAGGAAGTTAGAAAGGCGGTCCAAGTGTGCAGGTAGAGCCAGTCATTGGCTGCAAGGAGGTTGTGAGCCGGGACAGCGTGAATAGGTTAGGCCAGAAAAGTTTAGGCCGGAGTATGTACAGCCGGATGAGGAACTGCCTGCTTATGAGCAAGCATGCTTAAGCATTTGCTGAAGACCTACGGCGCTATTATCTTTCGGCAGCGTGGCGCTTGTCTGGATTACGTAGTTCAAGCGTAGTCTGCGGCTTCTAGCTCTGAGGCTAAGTGAAGTTAATACATCGTGAAGCTGGGCGTTGGCTGACTTGGCTCCAGGGCTTATTTAAGAATAAAATTTGTGGCCTACGGCTGCGCCACCCAAAACAAAAGCTGAATCGTGCAACAGCGAACAAACGATCAACTTACGTGGGAAAAGTCAATGTAAAAATTTCACGCTAAGATCATATTTGAATTTGATCCAGTCAATCTAGTGATGTCAAAGACAACTTCGCCCGACTCATTCAAACAAAATGTGTGTTTTAATGCAATGCACTGTAGGCGCAAATGACCCCTGCGTAGATATCTTTATAACTGCAAAGGCTGTCGAGGTACAAGGAAAGAGAGCTGCCAATTGCAATGCATTGCTGGTTGCCGCCAGTAGGTTCTCCCGACATCCAACCATAGTTGGCAGTGTCCGGCACCATGACTCCGGAGCTCCATGTCACGTACGAGCCGTTGCTGGCACGTATCATGTCTACGAAGAAGCCTGCCGTCATTCGGATGGACAAACTCGCCCTATCCTGAAATTGACAAAAATTTAATCAGGTTTACGTCACATAACATAAAACATAAGACGTTTCTTATGTTT